TGGTAGTGGTTAGAAGAAGAAGGCGCCTCATTTCTGCAGCCCGGTTGGGAGCCCGGCACAGCGACTGCTAGTAGGAGGAATGAAAGGAAAGTGGACAGAAGAGAAAAACGTTAGGTAAGTAGCGGCGCAGACGTCTACAGAACGAACAGCAGTCCGGCAGCAAGGATAGGGGTGGCAAGGGTCCAGTTCTCAGTGGTATAGATTGTCAGCGTTAAGCCACGAACGCACTAGCGGCGCCGCACTCTGTCGCGCGCCGCCGCTTTTCTCTCTTTCTCCCGCCGAGCGTCGAGGAATATCTGCCGCCGACCCAATCGCTCCTTGCGCTATTTCTGCCGCTGCCGCCGAAGCAAAGCGCCAATCAGCGACGTGCGTGGTAGTCGCCATAGCAACGCACAAAGCTTGTTTTTTTTTTCTTTTTCGCCTGTCATTTTTCTCACGCCGTCGTTTTCTGAAGCACGCTGACAACGGCACCATGGACACCGAACGCTTTTTAGAGGAGATCAGACTCTACCCCTTCTTATACGACAAAACGATGCCTGAATATAAAGATAAGGAAGCAAAAAATGATCAGATGGGATATTATAGGATCTATGTTTGGATTGACAGGTAAGTGGCGATTGCGTGGCTCATTGCATGTTGAGCGCGAATGAATTGTATGTTTTATTCACTCACTTCGCGGCGCATTTCGAGAGCGGCGACGCTGAAGCAACAGCAGACACGCCATCACGGTAACGTTGAGCGTTGCGAGGAGATCGTCGTCGCCGGCCATTGTTTGCACGATTGCACCGTAAAGTCGGAGAGCTCAGAACAGACGACGAAAAACCGCGCGAAATCTCGCGAGCCGCTGCGAGACCGCTCGAGACTGTTGTCATGCGATTCCCGCAGATGTGGCCAGCGTGCCGCGTTTCACCGCTCGGCGGCGAAGACGCGCGTCATGCCGCGGCGGCACGCTTCCCGCTAGTGTGACGGCGAATCTTGCTCATATAATTTACCAAACCTTTGGAGAATTTCATTCGAAGTTAAACCCCCTTCTACAGAGTACCTTCTACAGAGAACACGGTGCTCAAGCTTCTCCGTGACTTACGGCACCACACCCGCTCGGATCGACTGTCAAAGCCAAACTGATTTTCGTTACTGTACCGGGTGTTCAAAATTAAGCTTTATGATTTTTTTAAAATTAGGCGCTCGAAGGCACGTGAGAACCACTTGTGCAAATAAGTTAAGCGGCCAGGGGGACAGAAAGTTAGATGATAATTATCGCTGTCAGCAGCCCAATTAACTAAAATTTAATAATTAACTTTTTACTGGCTGCGGTAAGTTGGCATGTTTATATTGAAAAAATGTAGGCAGTGGTGTTTGTACACAGTTTCAGTTGGAAGATTTTTTCTAGCACGCCTGTGTTCCGAGATATCCGGCTCCAAAGTTTAATTGTCTTTCGCACGATTACGCATGCAAGAGGGTGAGGGTCCGCGCAAAGCTCCTCCCTAAAGTGACGCATCTGTTGCGTGTGGTGTTTAGTGTGTGAAGAGGGTGGAAGCGTAGGCATAGGTGATAGCAATTACCCTTGCCCTCTTCGGCCAGCGAAATCAAAATGTGACAGCGCGGTGCGCCATGAGCCTTACGCATGATCCTGATGAACGCGATAACAGGAGACCATTTTTCGCGACGTTTTTTCGTGACTTTAGATCACACTGAGACATCTTCTTGTGAACGCGTTAGCAGGACCGTCCTGCACTAGGGTGCCTCCGGTTAGAGCACAGCGTCTCTGCATTGAAGGTCTACCAAGGAAATCCACGTGGAGTCCTTTCGAGCTAATATGGCTGCTTCTGGCGTGAGGTATTCTACCAAAGTAAAAGTAGACGTGGTGCTTGCAATGGCTGAAATGAATGGCAACGCTTCGTTAGCAATGGAGCTTTACGCGTCTCGCCACCCACACCGTCCCCTTCCAACAAGGCCCACTTTCACAAACCTGTTTCGACGCTTCTGCACAACAGGCTCTGTCCACCTTCCGAGACGGACCAGGAAGGCAATCGTCGATGAAGACTTTGAAATCGACGTTGTCGCGTGCGTAACCTCGATGCCAGAGCTCAGCATCCGACAGATTGCCGATCAGTGCGGTCGCAGCATCGGAACAGTCACAAATGTTTTAAGAAAGCACAAGTTCCATCCATATCACGTTTACCTTCATCAGGACCTAAATGAGGCGGACTTTGAAAGGCGAGTTGACTTCTGCAATTGGGGCCTCATCAAAACTGATCAAGAAAATGACTTTTTGCACAGAATAATTTGGACTGATGAAGCTCGGTTTTGCCGAAATGGAAGTGTTAATCTTCACAACGCCCATTATTGGGCACAAGAAAACCCACACTGGCTGAGGCAGCACAAGCATCAAGTTCGCTGGAGTGTGAATGTGTGGTGCGGCATACTCGGGGACAGGATCATCGGACCTCACTTTTTGAGGACAACTTGAACGGAAAGATGTACACAGAAGAAATATTAGGTGTTGTCATTGATGATCTTGTCTGCAGTCTTTCCCTGAATGACCTGCGCCAAGTATGGTTTCAGCACGATGGAGCACCACCACATTTTTCTACCAGGGCGAAGAACTGGTTGGACAGACGTTTTCCACAACAGTGGATTGGGCGCGCAGGAGCGATGTTTTGGCCACCAAGATCACCTGACCTTTCTCCGCTCGACTTTTTCCTTTGGGGCTACGTTAAAGATCGAGTTTACGTAACAGAGCCCAGCGATGTTAATGACATGAAGGACAGGATAACATCTGCCTGTGCGAGTATTCCTGCAGAAGTACTGCGCCGAGTCATCGAGTCGACGCGACAGCGGTTCATGCTTTGCGTTGCTGCCGAAGGCAGGCATTTTGAACACTTTTTGGGGCATTGACGTCTTGAGAGGTGAAGAGTTTCGATGAGATTTGTGCATGACCGAAATATGCTTATGTAGCAGCAGGAAATATGCGTTAGCAAGGATAAAACTGTTTCAGTTATTATTGGTGGAGTTGTTGCTCTTGTTTCAATAAAAGTTACAGTACTCGGACATCAGCAGTCACGCTATTCGCGTAGCCCAGGCAACGACCACGCATGCTTCTCTAGTGATTATTACGCACGCGCACTGGCATCCAGATTCTCCGCTCGCACCATTATCTCGGCATGGTATCTGCCACTATCGTTAGAGGCTCTGCAGTTGCGTGTTACGACACTGGTTGCAAGCGTTCTTCGATTTTTGATTTCGACGGCCGAAGAGGGCAAGGGTAATTGCTATCACCTATGCCTACGCTTCCACCCTCTTCACACACTAAACACCACACGCAACAGATGCGTCACTTTAGGGAGGAGCTTTGCGCGGACCCTCACCCTCTTGCATGCGTAATCGTGCGAAAGACAATTAAACTTTGGAGCCGGATATCTCGGAACACAGGCGTGCTAGAAAAAATCTTCCAACTGAAACTGTGTACAAACACCACTGCCTACATTTTTTCAATATAAACATGCCAACTTACCGCAGCCAGTAAAAAGTTAATTATTAAATTTTAGTTAATTGGGCTGCTGACAGCGATAATTATCATCTAACTTTCTGTCCCCCTGGCCGCTTAACTTATTTGCACAAGTGGTTCTCACGTGCCTTCGAGCGCCTAATTTTAAAAAAATCATAAAGCTTAATTTTGAACACCCGGTAGATGGCATTTAATCTGAGGCTTCCTCATACAGAAATACGCTTTCGATCGGCAGTCGATGCTCCTGATAACGTGCGAGCCAAACAAGTAGCGCCGTACGCGTCCCGGAATTCACAGTCGATTTTTCAAGTCTGCTAGAAACCGTTCGCACTTATCTTTACATGTGCTGCCATGCACCCAAACGACCATGCCATTTACTCAAATTCGCGGCCATTCAGCTCTGCATATAGGGCGCGGTCAACACGATGATCGGCCAGGACGATCTGATCATCGCGTGCTGCGTAGTTACCGAGACCGCCGCATACCCGCGCACGCGCCGACGATCACAGCGGTGGGCGAGGTAAAGCAGTCTCTTATAGGTTTGCCTAAAAAGACTAAGCCAAAAGTCATATTCTCAGTCTATTGTAATGAACCCGACCGAAAGCTTTCCGCTCCCAAAGTGGTTTTGCACTGCCTCTGGGACCAGGGGGGAACAAGAAGCTTTCTGCACCTTACCTGGCTTTGCATAGGCTCTGTGACTGACCCACCTTTAGCCAGCGATGACGTCGTCACGAAACGTCACACGGTGCGAGTCATTTTCATAGTGAGCTTACGATGTCACATTGGGCGATCTGCGACGCCACGACGACGTCATAGTGTTGATGAAGCACTCATGCAATGAAGCTGAGGCAGAGTCCCTTTTCAAGCTTGACGATGCCCCTACTTATGCAGGACTGCATGCACATACTGTTCATCTTGTTTATGTGAGAAGGTAGTCTACAAGATACCGAATGCCAAGGATAAAATAATTTTTCTGCCAGCACCCTCTTACAACTTTTAATACACAAGCAGCTTAGTGGTTGTATGAAAAAACCCGTAAACAGAGGTTGAATGCTCAAGCCGACGTTTCGGCAAGTGGACTTGTCTAAGGCTTCTTCCTGTTCTTCAAGTACTTGTCTTCCTCAAGTTCTAGCCTTGAAGACAAATCTGCTTGTGAAAATGTTGGCACATAACTCTAGCTGTTTATGAACTTTTTTCATTGCAAGCTTACATTTTACTCTTCCTGCCATTCAATGATCGTATGTCACTGGGGCCTATGCACGGCCCCATGAAGTGACATGGTTCAAAGGAACTATACAACTAGAGCAGAAAGCGCAGAAGGACAATTCAGGCTGGCAGATGTAGATAGAGTAGAAATAGCTGGGCTTTTCATATCCACTAATCGCTTTTGCATCTGTGCATTGCGCGCTCACATCTTATTACATGGCATGGCAGATGTGAAGGCAAAGCGTATTCCAGACTGGTGCATAAAAAAAAAACATTGCAAAAGAAATCATTCGACAAAACTTTTATTGCTGGTACTTGAGAAGACACCGCCAGCAAAATTAAGTCTTCCATTTCACTGTCAGCGACAAGACGTCAATGGGATTCAGGATTAGCTCAAGGCACTAGGGTAAAAAGACCCACAAGGAGGGATATACTTTTTTGTCGAGATGCCACAAACTTTGTTCAGGCACTTATGGAAAGAACAGTGCTTAAAAACGGTGCATAATTGTGCCACAACAGTACTCCGGACACCTCGTAGTAGGAAAGAAAAGATGCAACCTTGAAGAGAATATAGGATGCGTTTGAATGTCGTTGAGCCGACAGAACTATCGGAATGTTGCAGCTGGAATAAGACATTCTAATCAACAGCTTGCACGAAGCTTTTATAGTGTAAACACCTATTAAGCAAAGCTAAATCAAACTTCACACAACATACATCTCGCGCATCACAATGAAGTGGTGCGTGCGACACGCAGTTTCAGTACACTCAAACACGTGCACAAATGTAAAAATACAACAAAAACCCTTTTGTCAGAGTGATCAAATGGAATGTTGGCGAGCAGCTAGATAAAGCACTTGCAGAAGCGGCCATAGCATAAAAAGTGTCAGTAGAAAAATAACGTCCAAAAGAGACCTCCGTAAAAGAAAACTATTGAATCGTCCCAAAATCCGGCATCAGGAATAAAAAATGCTACAGAGGAATGGGGCATAGAATTAGAAAAATATTATGAAAACTAGGTCCACAGCTTTCGTGCTGTTGTGATGACGCAAACATGTGCAAGGTACTTTGTCCAATTACACATCGCAAGTAGAAACAAAGGTAATCTGTAAATATTGTTCAGCTTTGATCATATTCTCGAGCACACGCAACACTCAAAGTGTGCAACAAACATGCATCCACGCGACATTCACACATTAAGAATAGCTCTCGCAGAAGAGCTCCCAATGAAAATGGCCATCATACTGCTTTATTGAAGCAGTTTAATACATTACTACTGCCGTTAATTGCGATGCAATACACCTTGCATAACTTTATGCAATTGCAAAGTGCATAAATTACAAAAATAAAGAATAACATCCAGCACAGTATTCCAGCATAGACAGCATTATACACACAATATTCAACATTGCGAACCCACATTTGCCACGCAAGTCTATTGTCAAGGAACATAAATCGTGATAACATTTTCACTGCAGATTCAAGAGAACTACAATAGACAGCCTTGAATCTTAATAGGGTATTTCCCTTGACATTACCTTGCCCAAGTGTCAATTCCCTCCCACCCACTTTTATACCTGATCATACAGTTTTCTGAATTCTGTGTTGGTTATTAGAACCTGTGGTGGAGCTACAGCTGGCATTACACGAAAGCACATGTTCACAGGTAAATGCATCGGCATCAAAATGCTACAAAATATGCATTAAGGCACAACAAGATCTTTATATTTCAACCACCACTATCGTCTGCCAACCCCTTGCAATCAAAACCGTAAAACCCCTTTACATTCCAAACTAGTTAAAGCATTTTAAGGTCATGTCATGATGTTTCAGCCATCCATCACAGAAACAATGGGTCAAACATGGGGTGCACAGAAAGTCACCAAGGAGGCACGTTCATCAAAGGTTCCGTAGGCCATACCGACTACAACAGTGCAAAATGTTTCGGAACCCAAGGTGTGCAGTCGTGATCTCAATCTAGCTGGGCAGTAACGACATGGTCTTGCATAATTATGCTTGCCACAACCAAAAATTGGGCTTAAATTTCAAGTTTTTAGTCATCTTGCATGCCACGGTCTTATGACACCAACAGTACATCAACTAGACCTGGAATGTTCAAGAAAATTGGGGTGCATGAAGACCACGTACGACCAAAGCGTTATAAGTACAAAGCTAATCTGCATGTGGCATAAAATTGCCTCTGCGTGAGTTAAAGTTGGATTGAAATAATCTTCAAACTTACACACAACCACATTAAAAAACTAATGTAAGAAAACTTTAAAAAGGCATTTATGGTGTACATACAATTTAGCAACAAAATTTATTTTCACAGCCCATCTGTGTAAAGAGTATAACACATATGGAATGTGAAAACCTACACAATACACAGTAAAAGCCACGCATTATAAGAGATACCTACTGAAAATGAAGATTACATTATACCTAAGGACATTTGCAAAAAAAAAAGAAGAGGTTCGAGTGGCAGGCATCTTAAGGGACTACAATAAAAAGCCTTTCGGCCTCCAGCCAAAGCCAGCATCAAAAAGGAGATGCACATGAAATTGGGTGCCGTGTGATTTAATACAACAGATCCAGCAGACGTACAAAATGAACTGCCCTATAAGGGAGTGCATCACATTTCATGTAGAGGACAGAAACGAAGTTTCACTACCTGTGCCTCTTACGTTTATTTTTAATTGTGCATTCAGCATTTTTTTCAGCCATAGTTACCACACGCACCCCACTCGATCTACCCCATGTTGCTAGCCGAACTATCTGGAGCCAAGAAATGCTGCAAGACTGCTATTAAAGTGCTGTTTCAGTGAACGCTCTCAAACACCTTCCTACATCCTTTTCAAAAAGGTCCGCAGTGTTACAGAATGAATGCCAAAATAACGCATACAGAGTAAGGCTCTTATTTCAAAAAGCAAGAATTATAGATCATCGTTGGAAGTACCCTGCCTCTCTTGAGAGCTTTAATTAAAGAAGCCATGTTTGATTGATGCAATTGATCATGCGCACACATTACATCAACCTGCAAGCAACGACATTAAAGAGAAAATATGGAAAGCGCTTCTCACTGCATCCTTTCAGCAACCATACACAAGTCAACAGACCGCAGTTTACAAATGATGTTTGTGGTAAAGATATTGCACAAAAATTTTGTGGCCAAAGCTGTTTTACACCACAAACGGTGAAATCGGACACATAATTCGAGGCATTCACCAACGATTCTTTACCAGCGACACATTAGCGATCAGTCCTTGCAACCAATTAAAGTATGGTTAATGAGTTAAACACACCACTGTCAAAATAGTCATTTAGACATTCAGACAACTGATGTTGAACCTGAACTAATATCTTAACAACACAGTTAACATCAGCAATTCTTGTCAAGTTCCTCAATAGCTTAACAATGTAAACAAGTGAAGCCCGCTACTGACACAAGCGGTTCTCTTGTCAATAACTTTTTATTGAAATCGCAAATTTGGCAGAGCAATGCTGCCGAATTCCCAAACTCCACAAAACCACTTGCTGTTCAGTCAATGTGTTACTTTCTAGATGAGACTGAAATTGGCATTATCAAAGAAAAATGCCATCAACGCCTTGCACAACTAAGGCAGCGAATCCAGATTTGCGTGATTTGTGTTGCACATTCGACCAGGCACATAGCCTTCCCAGCCCCCGGATAAAGAACAGAAAACAAAAATCTAATACACCCGCACACAAGACGTGTGCTGAAACCAGCCACACCCAACTCTTGGCGCCATTCGACAAAAGGCACAGGCGGCTCACATTTGCTCAATGAGCTCGTATTTTTTCTTCAGGTCCATCTGGATCTTTTTGGGATCGTGCTTCTTGCGCTGTGCTAGAAGCTGCCGCATCTCGGAGGCGCTCATGTTGAGCATGTTGAGAGAGCCGTTGCTCATTGCATTGGCCGGCTCGGCGGGTGCTGGCTCTGTCCCTGGTGCAGGCTTAGATTCCGAACCCGAGTCCACTTGAGTCAACCCGGTGACCGGGCCTTCTGCTGCCTTGTCCCCAGTGCCATTTGGTTCCTCTCTTGCGGAAACCTGCAAAGAGAAATTAGCCCCTCTTATCATGCCTGTTTCTCTTCTTGCTTTTGTTTTCCAGTCCACTGGGTCTGCGGCAAAATGTTTCCAAGAAATGTGCTATATTACCACCCACACAGCCACTGATAAAGATGCCTATAGCAACATTATTTATGGTACGGCGAGGTGTTTCAATTATCTCGTGGCCTTCGGAGTCCTAGCCTAATGCTTGCTCTCAAAAACATCAAGCAAAGAAAGCTCTGCCGCTCAAGCAAAGGCAAAATTTGAAGGAAGGTTATTCAAACTAAAATGGCAATTTTTTTTTATAGAGGCACGATGTGTGGAGTCTAGGACAAGCTGGTAAATACTGACTTCAGATACTTAGGGCAAGAAACGGGAGAACAAAATAAGAGAGTGAGGCTAATATTCGATTAGATAAATCAACAATATACATACAAAACAATCCACATGCTCACTACATTCGCATCTTATCTAAAAAATTCAAACTATTTTTCTGATCACGCAGGTAATGGCAATTGTCACTGGGCCTTGTGATCAATCATTTCCGATACAATAATATCCTATTAGGCAGTTGGTTATCTTCGTAAACCATTGTTCTTTAATATATTGTCAACAGCCACACATCGTGCAATGTCCAAAAAAAAAAAAACTCCACGTTTTTTTAACATTGTTAAAGGCCAAGTCAATCAATGTTTTGGCTCTAATGTTGAGGTCCACAGTGAACTTCAACATCGGTAATGGTGACCAAGACCTCGTGTCTGATCTTATCTGGACAGACCCTTGTGGGTCCTTGCCAAATGAGATATAGCAGAGCAGTTCCAAGAGAATGCCCTCTTTATGATGGATATAAAGACAAATGCATGTTACAAGTCATAGTAGCTGCCACCATTTGTTCCACCCACCTCTGTTTTCGCTGGCACAGGTTCGGACTCCGAGGAGCGGCTCTCCTCCTCTTCCGTGTCCTCTTTTCCGTCCAAGTCACTCTGCCGCCTCTGTGCAATCGAGAACAAGCGGACCAGCTGTGCTTACGGATCAGCACATTATCACTTTCTCAGCTGAAAACGCTGCTCAGCCTCAGGCCCGCAGCACACACACAAAGAAAAGATTGGACTTTACATTACTATATAGAGATACAATAATTGAAGTGGGGGGCTGTGGATTAATTTCAAACACCTGAGATTTTCTGAAGATGTCCTAGAGAACCTTTTCCTTCCGGAATTTAATAATCTAAGAATCAGTTTACCTCCTCAAGAAAAATCTTCTCCAAGCTGCCTTTCTTGAGTACTACGGTCCCCACACTAACGATCCCATTTCTCGCTTGCTGAAGCAAGCTGACCGTAGTCGCCGACATTCACATGCTGGTACACTTCTTACCAGGACAGGCGTGGGAGCCGACTGTGCTGCCTCGTCCTCCTGGGAACACTCGCTACCATCAGCTGCAGCAGCCATGGCTCCATCACCTCTGCTTTCTCCATTGGTAGCAGGGTTGAGCTCAGGGTTGCGAAGCCGCAACACGTTGGCTTGGTTTCCATGTACCTGGGATGCGGTTCGACAGGGGCACCTTTAGCGTTTCGCTCACACATCACAGTGCAGTCTTCAAAAGCACACACAATCACACATCTCTTCTTTCGTAAGTACTTCTGCTAAAAAAAGCCAGTGGAATGGCAAATTGGGACATGTTGAAGAGAACCAACAACGGCACAATTCAGAAAATGAAGGCGGGACAGCCGTCTTAGAATCCTTGCTATTCAATACACTCTTCTTTACCAATGGCCCTATTTTGTACCACAATGCAGCCAAAGCCAAAATTTTATTGCACTATCCTACCAATACAGGCCATTTGTTGCAATGAAGCGTGGGTTTTTGGCATTTCACTAAGATGAAGTCATTCTAGCAGGCCCATAGCCAGGGGCTACCCCCGGAATTCTGATGGAGTGAGTGTTTTACCCACAATAAATAATTAAACAAGGGCTTTTCAAGGCTTTCAAATGGTGGGCCTTCAATGTTTCTCTCTCTATTTTGTTCTTGCTCTCTCTCATAGCAACACATCCTATATATGCTTTTTCTGTCAGCGTGCCTGGATAGCTCAATGGTTACGACGTTCGCCTTTGGGCCATGGTAGCCGACTTCGAACCCCACGTCGCCAAGAAATTTCATTTTGTTTTATTTGATTGTTCTCCTCCTCCTCTTCTCTCTTCCTTTCCTTCCCACAACGCATTGCTAGACGCAGTTGTGCCAGGTGACTGCTAGGCAACGCACAGGGCTCGGCGAGTTTCTGCCCACAATCCGCCGCCTATCCTCTAGATTAAAACAGCTCCATTTTTAAAACTAGCAGTTGTTGCGTGTACAAATACGGCCGATGGGCGAAGCTCCATAGGAATGGGACGCAAGCGACTATTTGCCTAATCTCGTTGCTGGCTTTTATGAGGGCGGTAGGGTGGGAGAGCGGGTGGGGAGAGCGTCTGCTGCCTTCGGTGACGGAAAACCTCAGCGAGTGAGTGTGCAGCGCGCGCGGTGTAGCGCGAGCCATCTGCCGCCGCGCCTGCGCCGGGAGGGGGCGCCTCTTTCGCTAGGTGCGCTTGCCCGGCGCAGGGAGCTTCGGCGACGGCGGGGCGCGTGCTACGGAGCTTTGCTCCCAAAAAAGGCCGACTGCTTCCACCACAGCAGTCCGTTCAAGGGTACTCGCAAGGGCTAACGCACCTGGATGTCCCGATCGCGGTACCACTGCTCGCCGTCGGCCGTGAGCACGAGCAGCCGCGTCTCGTCGGGCACGGCGCGGATGCGTTCCACGATGTCGCGGTGCGCCTCCTGCTGGACGTTGACGCCGTTCACCTCGACGATGCGGTCACCCTCGCGGAGGCCCGCGTACTCGGCGGGGCTGCCTTCGTCGATCTTGCCCACGTACTGGCCGCGCCGGTCCTTCTCGGCGTGCAGGTTGAAGCCGTAGCCCTCGAAGTCGCGCCACTTGGTCATGTGACAGAGCCGCGGCTGCGGCGCGTCGTCGGGCAGATCAGCCGCCGCTTCACCGTCGGCGGTCAACGTCTTCTCGGGCTCCTCTGGTTCGTCCTGCGGACATCGCGAGGAAGAAAGAGAGAATAAACTTTTATTAACAACAAATGCACACTGAGCCTTCTTTGCGTGGGGCCCTCAGTCCAGGGCTTCATTGCCTTGCGCGGCCCTGCGTGCCCGCTGGACCTGCTGTTCCTGCCGGCGTAAGCTGAGCAGTGCAGACTCCCAAGAGGAAGAGGTGGGATTGGGAATGGCAGGAACGCCCTGTGGGGCAGAGCATTCCCACGTGGAGTGGTACACCGTCGGTACGGATCCACGGAAGGGGCAGTAGATCCGTACCGACGGTGTACCACTCCACGTGAGAATGGACACGCGGATAAGCGACACAGACGCGCGAGAAGATGGCGCATCACTAGCAGTACGCAACGCCGCGCTAACGAACGCAGCTCGGTTATTACGAATTTCTCGATAATGCGAACGAGTACGCATCGCGAAATATGTGTTTGCTTCGGTTTTGGGTTCGTACCCAAATGTTCTAACAACGAGGAACTGGTCCCCATTGGTGCGTATTCGTGTTAAACGTCTACGCTTGCAAACAAGGGCACAAGAGAGAAGTCAAGTCACCAGAAACGTTCACTATAGTTACCGAGAAGGCGCGTGTGTTTAGAAAAAGTTGTTGACGATTTAAAGTACGAGGCACTCTACTATGGGAGAGCATAAAGCCGTCCCGTTGACCTCACTTAGGATAAGAGAGCATAGCAGCAGAAAAAAAGGCAAAACACGGAGTCGACGAGGCTATACTACCACCTCAAAACTAAAAAAAAGAAAGCACGTAGAGAGGTGGCCGGACTGGAACTGATGTATTCTTGGAAACTTTTCAGCGCGAACAAGACGGAGCACAAGGAATGTGTTTCGTTCGCGCTGAAATGTATTTAACTTAACAAAGAGCACCGTAATAAAGAGAAAAAGCGATACAACATATCTGGAAGAACATAGAAAGCCCATCAGCTTCGCCATTTCATTAATAGAGTCCGCGAAGCAGAGTTGGATGACTCTTACCCCCTTTTCTTTCTATTATTTATCGGACACTATGAAAAACACTTTACCCCCTGGCTGCGCAGCGGTCACGCATGGTAACACCGCTTAATTAAGCACGACTCCATCTCTTCCTGCTGACTTCTTATTCCAGCGTGACGTAATAAATGCAAGACACTTTCACCGCTAACAAGGACGATAACAGAGGAAAAAAAAAATAGCGACGAGGTCGAGTTCCAAGTTATTCTTGAGAAATGATCAATTTTCGCTTTCAAGACGTTCAAGACTATCTAGACGCGGAGTCGAACCCAGGACCGGGCGCGTTTCCAGACATACGTATTGTTTACTACAGCCTTCGTTGGAGCTATATGGTACTACCTGACCTTATTCAAGGAGTTCGAAAAGCTGCAGGGTGGACGGACAAATCGAAATCTGGGCGATCGAGGTTTTTTTTTTTTTTTTCAACAATACCTTTTTTTTTATAAAGCTTTACCTCTTGTCAGAGCAAACGAATTCTATGCCGAGACGAGAAAGATGTGACACATCCGAAGTCACATTCAAATGAGTATTCAACAAAAACTCGTCAATTACTTTTTTAATAATTACCTGCGGGGCTGGATCACATGAACGAGTTGTATAGGACGTGACATTTCATGGACACCCAGTTTATAAAAAAAATCACCAGAAACACGCGTAATTTCAGATCATAATCACCGAAATCGAAGACCCCGATTGTGGGTGAAACAAACTACACCTAAACGGAGCCCGCCAGGAGCGCAAAATATCCAAGCTTACGCAGCAACTTTTGAAGAAAAATAAAGGAGAGGAGGGGGGGGGGGGGCGTCGCAGAATATGGTCAGGAAAACGGTAAGCCGTATCGAATATTAGGCTGCAGCGCTCATCTCTGCGTTTCGGGGCACCGTTATTTGTTTATTTCGCGCTGTGTCCAAGAAAACCACAATTTTCACTTATTCTACACTCAAACCTCGATATAACGAACCCAAATATAACAAAATATCGGTTATAACAAAGTAAATAGAAATAGTATTGCAATATATTTTGTGTTAATAATAAACTTTCATAACAAATTTTCGGATCGACCCAAATAATTTTTATGTAAGATGCAACTTTGTACAATGAGCTATCAATACTACAGCACAGCTTAAAACTAGACGGCAGCCACTGCAGCGCTGTTTCTCACAGACCAGTATGATTTAATGGGTAGATATTCACACAAGTATGCATTTGGGCGTTGACTTACATGCAGCCCTGGGTATTAGGCACAGTAATGGTGAGCTTAACACGCCAGCGTAAGAAATAAGTAAGAGACGGTTAGATTATTGGTGTTATAAAACCATAGAGAAAGGTCAAAACTAAATAGTGGGGAAAATAAGGGCATTCTGCCGTAAGAGGCACAGATGTGGGCTGTGAATTCGCGAGGTATACACTAGGCAAACTTTGGGGCAACAATACACTGGCCAACTGGGGCAGTTTTTAATTTTATTATCTTTTCGTCGAGCCTGGTGGCACACATGACACCGCCTCATATAAAGGGGGCGCTTAAAGAATGTATTAAAGCACGAATACATGCTACAAGATGCACATATGATTGACTGATATCTGGGATTTAACGTCTGAAAACCACCATGTGTTTATGAGAGACGCCGTAATGGAGGACTGCGAAAATTTAGACCACCTGGGGTTCTTTAACGTGCACCCAAATTTGAGCACACGGACGTACAGCATTCTCGCCTCCGTGGAAAATGCAGCCACTGCAGCCGGGATTCGATCTCACGACCTGCGGTTCAGCAGCCGAGTACCTTTGCCACTAGACCATGTACCACGGCGGGGCGATGCACATAGGATGGATGGATCATACATTCCATCAAATAACATCCGATCCAATCCAATTCCATTCAACAACATCCAATCACATCAAATCAAATCACCCATTCATCCGATCAATAAATATACAACCAATACAATCAATCCATCCTTCTATCCACCCATCCAACCCAACCCAATTCATCAATCTCACCCAATCCCATCCATCGAGCGAAAGAGTTGAACAATGACATGGTATGCATTTCGAAAACGTTTAGTGTTCGTATCGGAAATTACAAGAAAATGTGGCTGATCCCCCCCCCCCCCTTTAGGAGTCGGTATAACACGAAATCGAAACGTGTATTTACAGAGGTTGTTGGGCGTAAGTTACAGTGAATTGTTTCGCCACAAGGGCGAAGGAATGAATGCTACAGCAAAAAAAAAAAAAAACGCAAAGTCACGCGAAGAACAGCAAGAAGCTCAAAACTTCCAACGCACACCTCAAACAAAGCACGCACGAAATGAGCACACACTGGACGAGCGCACACCAACCACTGTCACAGCTCGACACTTAAAGCGCAAATTTTAAACACAAATAAAAGCGCACGATAAAGGTCAATAAAGTGGAATGCTGGGCCAGTTGGTACAACATAATGTGGAAATATATTAGCACTCACGGTAGAAGGAAAACCACTTGACAGGAAAGACGCTCATATATTTCCTCATATATACACCTTTTCACGGGAAAAGAAAAAAACACCGCCACGGTGGGCTGCGCGCGGGAGTACAAAGGCTAAAGGCGCAGCGTTGTCAGTGCATTTTCGAGGGGACGCGCCGATTTGCACAGCCCAAGGAGGGGCTATGGCGGCGCCCAGGGAGGCGTTTGGGAAAAGGCGAATAGCTCGCCACTGCGAGCGCCTTTCCTATCAAGTGGTTTTCCTTCTACCTTGTGCGCTAATATATATTTCCACATTAAACGCGCACGATAAGAACGCACAAGTATACACAGGACAAACGCGATCCACTGTCGCAATTCTTACATATTCTCTTCTGAGCAGCATGCTCCTTTTGCAAACGCGGCCGCAGCAGCGAGCGAGGTGACCTTCGTGCATGCTTTGCTGAATCACGACTCTAATTAAAGCGCGTGCGCCGGAAAGACCATGCTCCGCGGAGGCTTCGCTCCCCGAAACGCGAGAGGTGACGACTTGGAGCGACCATCTCGCTATTGATGACGAAAACGCACTGAAGTGTCGAAGCTCTGAGAACCGCAAAATGGTATAAGGGGTAAATAAATTAACTTGCCTCACGCTGCGTGGCCTAGTGGTTAGCGCCGCGCGCTGCGGATTGAGAAGTCGCTGGTTCGACGCCCCGCGACCGAACTTTTTCTTCCTTCTCGTTTGATTCTTTGCCATCTGTTGATATATACTTTACGACGTCACATCCGTGACGGAAATACGTCAGCTGAGCCGTGGTGGACCCCCGGCATAAAATACTTTCGTGTTAAAAAGAAATATGCGCGGTCAACGACCGTATACGGCTGTCGACAGTGAGTCAAGCGTAAATTACGTCACTCTGTTTGTTTAGTGTTACTCTTTTCCTCTTCTGAATGCCAGGAGCTGTGCGCCTGTCGCTACAGGGCTGCAAGTTGTCGGAGCGCGCGGCCCACTCACGGGTAATTGAGCGCACCTCAAAAAAAAAAAAAAAAACCCTTTAATTCCGGGAATCACAAGACAGAGAATAAGCGAGGAGTGTGCGGACGAGTGACACGCCATGGCCTGGAATTTCTGCCCACGTCGCTTCTGTTCGAGCGAAACGGCGCTCTTGAGACGCGCCTTAGCTGTTCTACTTACCGAAGGGAAGAGTGAGAAAGTATAGATAATATGACGAAAACGTGTGCCTAGCCTTCCTAATTTGTTATTTTTTTTTCAAACAGAGACCTACACCCGCCAATACACGCCCTCGAAAGCAATCTTGAGTGTTGAAACGCAACGTATACACTCGTCGCGGCCGGGGACATGGCGCTAATTCGATTCCTGGGACATATAAGAGTCAGACACGTATACATATATACGGACCTTGCACCGGGCAAGCTAGCGCTCATTAGCAGAGTGAACACGCGACGCATTAAGATAAAAAAAAAGCACGTATATACACGAAGTGATGATGATGGGGCGAAGCAGTGTGCATCGAATCATGAA